GTTACTGGGACCGGGGGCGTTTTGCGGCAGAACCTGGCGTTTTCGTTATTTTCAAAATAACGGGCGAGGCAGCAACTGCAAACTTCCAGCTCCTACTCGGCAGCAGTTACCCGTACAGAACCCGAACCTGACCTGTTCTTTATCCAGACGTGTTTATCTTCTGCTTCTGTTGTTTCCCCATTCGGGAGGAAGCACAGGTGGAAAAGCCAGGCAGGTTTGCGCGAGCTTGTCATACAAACACGGACTGGGTACAAAAGGAGCTGTACAACACCAAACTTAAGCGAAAAGCATCCTGCACCGCACTGGGTAAGCGACCGACCCAGCCTTTAACCTTTACAAAGCATTTCAGTATAGCTCAAAACTACCTAGTAGTACTTAAAACACCTGCTTAGGAGCTGAATGACAGTTTTGATTCTTTTGAATATGTGAAATCTTGAGGGGAAAGCATGCTATTAAACCACATGATCTCTTTAGAGCAATAGAATTGTCTGTATTTCTTTCCTAGTAGAGCTTGATCATCCTTGATTTCCTGATTCCATGCACTCAGAAATGTTGCTCAGAAAGCAGATGGTCAATTCTGGACGGGATCAACAATTACAAATGTATCTGCAAAAACCTGAGCCTCCGAATCCTTTAAATGAGGCCTCTCCTCACAGTGTCAGACAGCTTGAAAAATTGAGGTTGAGGAAGCTCTGCCAATAGTTTAGTTTGATTTAAAAGATAGCCAGCACTGCCCTCTCTCTTAAATTACATTGGAGATGCCGAAGGAGAAGTTACTGGTCAAAAAGACTAAGTTAAATAAAAACACCAGAAGCCAGACACTTACAAGACTAGCTCAAATTCATGAAAACCCACACCAATACTGAATTGATTTATCTTTTCACAGAATGAACACAGCATCAGATAAACATTTTACTCATAAATAGAACAACTTTATTCAGCCAAATGTGAGATTATTCCAAAACTATTCCTTAGCATTGGCTTACAGGATTATTTTTGCTATTTTCCCTATTCAAAATCCCTTACATATTGCTTAGGAAAAAAAAACACACCTTAAATTTAAAAAGCATTTTGTTGGAAAAACAGTGAGAAGGTGGGAATCCCATTTTTTGGATCATCCTTTTCTATTTCTCCAACAAAACCAAATGGAATTTTGCTCACCTTCATCAAAATGAGAATCAAAAGTGCAACTTCCAAGTCCCCTAGAGAACGGTGACATCAGCAGACACAGCCAGAGCTGGGAGTGAGTAACAACGCGGGGTTTTGAGTCATGATCTTCAGTCACGCTCCAGTTCTACCCTGGGCAATGCACTCTAAGCCTAGCAAAACAATTTGAAGTTCTCTTTATTTCAGTAAAGTTGAAACAATTTTTACTTTGAAGATTTTGGCGCAGGGGCCTGAAGGCTCAATCCCCGCAGCAGCAAGCGAACCGGCATGCACCCGATGCTGACACGACCGGCCGAAGAGGACGAGTGCGCCCTGTCCCTTGAGTGTGTGCTGGGAGCTTGCACTGGAGCACAGGCCGCGACCCCAGGGCTGTATTTTGAGCGTTGTAATCTTTTACTTTATAGAAAAGTTAACGTTTCCAGCCAAGTGTCTCTTCCAAGTTGACAGGCATATCTGTGGATGACTTTCAAGACCCAAATAACCTAGTGGATGCAACAGAAAAGTAGATGAGAAGAGGGCAGGACTGTGAGCAGTCACGCCAGCGCCCTTCCAGCTCACCCAAGCAGTGCACAGCTGGCCAGAGGTTCTGCTCCCCCAGCCATCAGCCCAGAGAGCTGCCCAAGCGAGAGGAAGCTCGCCCATCTGAACTCAAACCTTCTCTTTCCAGTGACTATTCTCAAGGTTGGTTCCATTCTGTTACTTGGTGGGGATTCCCCTTTCCCCCCCCAATGAAAAATGTCCCAAATGAAACGCTGACCCAAGTGATGGTTTATCCAAGCGACCCACGACAAGAACACTCCATCTTAAAGGACTTACACACTGGTTTTCAAGCGCTACCAGTGCCCGTGTTAGCAAAGAGCGGGGAGATCAATCATTGTCTCTTTGAAGATTGCAATAAGTAAGTGAAATGAAAAGGAAATGGGGAACAATAGAGTGGGAAAGAGATCCAAAAAGAAATAATACGTGCAAGAAAAATCCCAACATATATGACTTCCTCTGAACAGGTGACAAGGTGCTGCCCAGCGTTACTTACACAATCATGCAGAACATCATGAAGACATTCCACAAGGCAATGAAGATGCGAAAGTATCTGAGACTCAGCAAAAACTCTCTGATGTTATCACCTAAAAAGATGAAACCTCTGACGTAGAAAATACCTAATACACTGACGAGTTGGGTCACATTTTCATTTTCAACACTGCCTGAAAAACACGCGACTCTGGCGCAGAAAAGAAACCAAAAAGGGCAGAGAACAAAAAAAGGGAAGTTGAAGTTTTAGGTGGACGATCCATACTGTGTTCAGTGCATCCCTGCTAAGGTGTACGGGAAGGCAAGCAGTAAATAATAACAAACGGCATCACCCTGTTAAAAAGTTGTGCTCTACAGCCCTTCTACCACAGGAGCGACACAGGTGTGTGCAGACCAACTCGGAATTAGGTTTGTGACTGAGTGATCAGTTATTCCGGCCACAGAGCAATCCACGTCCACACAAAGCGGGGTTAAACTCCTACTTTGGCGCCCTTCTCATCTTTTAACCAACGATTCCCCTCGGGAAGGGCCCGTTCCCCTGCGGTTCCGCCGCCCCGGCTCTGCCCACAG